CGCCCCGCCCGGCCCGGTCCGGCCCCGCCCCGCCCTGCAGCTAGTCCGCGCACGCTCACTACGCCCCGGGGCGGCGGGTGCGGCGCCAGACGGGGCAAATTGCAGTTTATCCCCTGCGGTTTTCAGGGCCGGATGCGGGACCCCGGAAGAGCTCAGCCCTCGAGCCCAGCTCTTCCTCTAACTTGTGCCATCTTGGACAGGTCACTTCCCTTCTCTGAACCACAGATAACCCAAGGATCTTCATAGCTACAAAATCCTGTGAGGTTTTGCTAAACGTCCTTGGTAGCCCAGGCCCGGCTACTTGTTTAACAGATGCAGGCATAAATGAATAAATGAATGATCCTGCTCTCCCTGGAGGAGCACAACGCAAACATGAGCCAGGAGTAAAGGAGTGGTGCATCCTCCTCTCCTGGTCACCCTGATCAACTTTATTTTTCACAATCCTTGAGCAACCACTGAGTGCCAAGTACCGTGGACCAGAGGGAAGGGTGAGTTAGCTCCACCCTTAGGAAGCTTAATTCTTCCCCAAGGGATGAGATTAACCATTAGAACCCACCGGAGAACATTATAGCCTCAAGAGCTAAAGGAGACATCTTTAATTCTGTGATGATGAGGAATTTGTCTCTTTCTCTGTGAAGAAACACTTTGCTCCAATGGCACAGTTTTCCTCACACTCGGGAAATCTGCACTGCCAGCAGTGCCCAGTTCTCCCACCATAGCCATCCATCATCATTCCAGACACTGGGCCCCTTGTGTAGCCCCCTCTACTGACCAAGAAGCCTTAGTGCCTCCCTAGTGGGATCCCTGTAACAGCCTCATGTGGGGGGAGGGGAATTGTGACTTCTCCGCAGATTTAGAAGCATTAAATGGAATGTAGAGGCAAGTTCTTGGTTCAGAGAGCCAAGTGGTCTGTCCGACTGCTGCACCCAGGAGACACAACTGCTGTCACCCACACCATGCCAGTCCTGCCAACACTTCCCAACCTCACTAACTCCTGCCCAGTGCTGCGCTTTCTTTTGAGGAGGTGAAGGCTTGCCCCAGCTGGGTGGATGGAAGGGGCTGAAGGCGAACTCTCTGAAAGGTCAGGCAGTGGAACCAGAGTTAGAGGCCCTAGGTCAAGAAGCCCAACTACTAATTGGTGGTATCTAAACCTGGCCTTATTCAAAATGCATGACTTTGGGTGGCGCCTGTGGCTCAGTGAGTAGGAAGCTGGCCCCATATACGGAGAGTGGTGGGTTCAAACCTGGCTCTGGCCGAACTACAACAAAAAAATATGCCTCTGGGCAACGCCTCCGGGCATTTTGGCAGGCGCCTGTAGTCCCAGCTACTCAGGAGCCTTAGGCAAGAGAAACGACTAAGCCCAAGAGTTGGAAGTTGCTCTGAGCTGTGACAACACGGTACTCTACCAGGGGCTATAAAGTGAGACTCTGTCTCAAAAAAAAAATAAAAAAAGCATGACTTTATTGTCTTTCAGTGTTATCTTCAGTGGCCTTCATCCTCTGCTTTACTTTTCTTTATGAGAAAAGCAAGATTGGGTGCTATGGCTCACCTTTGTAGTCCCAGCACTTTAAGAGGCTGAAGTTGGAGGACTGATTTGCTTGAGGCCAGGAATTGGAGACCAGCCTGGG